CATTATTTCTTTTTTCTTGTCTTATTCAATGGCTAGAACTTCAACATTCAATAATAACAAGCTGTCCCTGATCTTAGGGGGAACACATTCAGCTTTTCACCATCAAATGCTGTTAGCTACAGGTTTTTTGGAAGATGCTCTTTATCAAGTTGAGGGAGTTCACTTCTTTTTCTAACTTCCTGAGAGTTTTTATCATGAATGGATGTTGGATTTTGTCAAATGCTTCATCTGAGTCAACAGATATAATCACATTATTTTTATTCTTTAGTTTAATCACATAGTGAATTATATTAATTGATTTCCAAATGTTTAACCAGTCTTGCCTACCTGGAATAAATCCCACTTGAACATGGTGAATAATTATTTTTATACATTGTTGGATTTGGCCCGCTGATAATTTGTTGAGGATTTTAGCACCTAAGTTTGTGAGGGATATTGAACTGTAGAGGGTTTGAGTTTTTTGGTTTATTTTGTTTTTACTCTCTTTGGTTTAAGCATTAGAGTAATACTGGCTTCACAGTATTGGGAAGTGTTCTTATATTTTCTAGAAGGCATTATATACACTTAGGTGTTTAATTCTTCTTTAAATGTTTGGTAAAATACTCCAGGGAAGCCATCTGGACCTAGGGGCTTTTTTTTTTTTAATTTAATTTTTTTATTTTTTTAAATTTACATCCAAATTAGTTAGCATATAGTGCAACAATGATTTCAGGAGTAGATTCTTTAGGGGCTTATTTTTAAGAAACTTATAAATTACAAATTCAACATCTTTAATGATTATACGACTATTCAGATTATCTATTTCATCTTAGTTGGGGTTTGGTAGTTCGTGGTTTTGAAGAAATTGGTCCATTTCTCCCAAATTGTTGAATGTTTTTAGCACAAAGTTGTTTGTCATACTCCCTTCTTACCCTTTGGATGTCTGCTGGATTTGTATTAATATCCTTTATTCCATTCCTGATACTGATGATTTGCATCCTGTTTTTATTTTTGTCAGTTTACCAATTTTATTGATGTTTCAAAGAATCAGCTTTTTTTTTTTTTAATGTTTATTTTTGAGAGAGAGCAAAAAAGCGAGAGTGTGAGTGAGGGATGGCGTCAGCATATTGTCAGCACAGAGCCTGACGCAGGGCCTGAACTCAGGACCCGCGAGATCATGATCTGAGCTGAAGTCGGATGTTTAACTGACTGAGCCACCCAGGCGTCCCTCAAAGAATCGGTGTTTGTTTCATTGGTCTTCTCTGCTGTTTTCCTAGTTTCAATTTTATTGATTTCTGCTCTTATCTTTATTAGTTCTTTCGTTGTCCTTGTTTTCCATACCTTTGGAGAAAGGGCAGGGGTGAAACCAAATCTATGACATGCTAAAAAAACCCGCTGTATTATGTTATATCCTAACCGAAGGGAGAGGGAGGCGGAAGAAAGGACATTCGGGAGGAAGACGGTGAGCACTTGTGCTCGAGGTGCAGAGGAGGGAAGAGAGGCAAAGATCAGGCACCCGAAGAGGCGCTCAGCACTGTCAGTCATCAGGGGACGTGAGTCAGAACCACAGCGAGACAGCACCTCACACCCACCAGGACAGCGAGGACCCAACAGACAGACGGTAAAAGGTATCGGCGAGAACACGGGTAGAGTGGAAGCCCATGCGCTTAGGAGAGTGCAAAGTAGGATCACTACCTTGTTCCTCCAAAACTTAAATACAGTTGCCACTGAACTGTACGTTTTGAAATGGTTGAGATGGTAAATCTTATATTATTGTATTTTACCACAAGAAACAAAAGTTAAACAGAGAATCACTGTAGGGCCCGGCAATTCTGTCAGGTTAGAAATGAAAACACGTGTGCACACAAAACTCGTACGTGGACGCTCGCAGCATTATTATTCCTAACAGCCGGAAAAACCCACACAACGCCCGCCAGCTGTGAATGGCTAAACAAACGGAAGATTATTTGCTCATTTAAACCAAAACATAGACGACACACTATTCTATATAAAGGGATATTATTCAGCCATAAAAAAGGAGTGAAGTGCTGATACTCGCTACCATGAGGATAAACCTTAAAAATATTATGTCTGGTGAAAGAAGCCAGACACGGGAGCCCACATATCGTAAGGTTCCATGAATGTGAAACATCCAGAACAGACGAGTGTAGAGACGGAAGGTAGACTAGTGGTTTCCGTGGGGGGAGGAAAAATGGGGAGTGACAGGGATACAAGCGCAGCTTCTCTCTGGAGGGGTGGAAACGTTCTGGAACTAGGCAGTGGCAATGGTTGCAAAATCTTGTGAATGTACTGAAAACTGCTGAATTGTACACCTTAAAAGGGTGAGTTTTATGGTAGGTAAATTATATCCCAATTTAAAAAAGAACAAGGAGAAGGGCATCTCCCGACGCAGAGCCTTTGAGCTGGGGATTGCAGGTGGCGAGTGCCCGAGCCCACTCGTACTGTGGACCTCAGCGCCAACTGCACCCTGAAGGATGGTAATAACTGTCCTGGATGGAGGAGTTCCGGGCTTCAAACTGGAAGAAGAAAAGCCTAAGTAGGTAAAGGGAAAGTTTATTCAAAAAAAGCAAAGATGAGCCAGCAGTGAGGAAGAACAAGGAGTAAGCGTAGATTTCTTTTGTACCTAAACAGTAACTGAGGGCTTCATTGGGGTTGAAAATAGGGCTTCCCTGAAGCCACCCTAGACGGTCGTTGTTGTTGTTGCTCTCAGTAGAGGGGAAGGCGGAAGTCGACAAGGGGAATCTAACACTGCTAGAGTAAAAATGGAAAATAAAGAGCCTGTGGATGAGGACTTCCATGTAAAGTTGTACTGGTTGTGCACTGCACAACCCTAGGAGGTGCCGCTCACAATGATGTGTAAATGAGTGGCATTGCCTAGAGATATGCCATGCACAGTCCTGATCTTGGCAATAGAGGATGCTTCCTCTTTTCAGACAGCAACTCTGAAGACTGGGAGAAGGGCACACGTTGACACTGAGGCGGAGTGGGAGGGAGTTCAGGGGCTCATCTCATGTCTGAAGGCTTCTTTGTCATTCAAGTAAAAGGTGAGGTTTTCTTTCAAGATTAGAGAGAAGAGTAGACGTTTGTGGCAAGTCTAAAAACATCTGGAGCAGCCAATGAGTAGAGACTAGACAACTGTGTGGCCTGGGGGTGAAGGGGGTGTGGAGGAGGAGTCTGGACTGCATCCTATGGAAGGACTCCCAGGAAGGGAGCGCAGACAGGAGAGGAGGGCTGGGCGGCCAGAGAGGAACCCGGGCCACAGTTTGGGGGGGAGGTGGGGTCTCGGGTCTCAGTATGAGGTGGCCCCGGAGGGGTGGCCAGTATGGGGGAGGCCCCGGCCTAGATGCTACAGATGGTACAGGGGACCCAGGCCCGGTGGCCAGACTGCAGGTCGCTGCTGGGAGCTGGCTGAGGCCATGACCGCCTTGCCCTATGGTGGGGGGGGGGGGGGGCCGCCATGCCCTCCCCGCCCCCCCCACCGGCCTAATGGTCTGGGGTTCCGTGGATTTTGTGACCTCCCCCTCGGATGCCATCATGAGCCTAATTCCCACAACCACTCTTCAGAATCCAGCTCGACGTATACCTCCCTCCTCTTGGGTATACAAGAGTAATTTTCCCAATTCTTAAAATTCAAGTTAGGGTTGAAGTCTTGTGATGGTGGGGGCCTGGAGAGGAGATGCTTTCTGGCCAACGGGCTCCATGCTATTCCCTCATTCACCCAACAGACGCACACTGAGACCGCACACCTCACGGGGAGGCAGGGGGCAGGGCCCCCATAAAGGGACACTGAGGCAGGGACATTCCAGCGGGACGGGCCGGATAGACACCATGGATATTTGTGGTGACAGGGAGGTCAGGTCCTCGAGGGAAGCCATGGGGCTGCACAATGGGCTGTTGGGGAGTCACGGGGACACTCGGGGAAAGAGCTTCTCAAGTGAGGGAAGCAAAGGCCTGGGTGAGGCAAGTACCTGGAGTGCCCGGTGGCTGTGGGGGCCCAGGTGGGGAGGGGTTGGTGCCCGTGCTGGATGGGGGGCCGGCCTCACAGGGCTCACGCGACTTCGGAAAGGACCGTGAAGTGCACAGAGAGGGAAGTACAGCGGCCTGAGCACCCCAGCCTTGGTGGAGCGGTGCCTCCAGGGGGGACTCCTGAGGGGAGCCAGGCTGCGGGGGAGGAGGCCCGAGGCAGGAGGGAAGGTGGAGCGAGCAGCTGCTGGTGGGGGGACGGAGAGCAGGGCGGTGGCCTTCCCGACAGGTGGCCACCCAGCGCCTCTCGCACCACATAGCAGCATCTCGGCTTAGCTCGAGGCAGGGCGTACCTGCCCCGGGGAAACCGAGTGCTCCTCCTTGTTCCGGAGAGGAGCTGCTACCTGCCTCCCTTGCAGCTACAGCCCTGCTCTGGAAAGGCTGCAAGGCAGCTGTGTGCAGCAGGGCCTAGGCGGGATTCCCTCCTGACAAGGGGGGCTCTGAGGGGGAGCCCCCACTTCCCTCTCTTCTCCTGAGAGAGGGGGCAGCAGGTACTTCACAATCGGGACCAGGAAAAGCTGACAGCCCGGGGACACAGACGCAGGCGTCTGAGACACTGTCCGGCCGCGCAACAAAACCTGAGGCCGTCGCCCCCAGAATTCTCTGTGAGTGTAGGTCACCATCAGGCAGGGACCGTCCCTTGTGGCCTGAGGTGCTCCCGGCATGATGGGGTGGGAGTGCGGAGACAAGGGCCCGTGCCCAGCACAGCGCACGCACACCCCACGCACGTGTGGAGGGGGGCGGACTCCCACCCTGGACTCTTTAGTATCTGCGGTACATTCTCTAGCAAGGGGCTTCGTGTTTGGAGGCGAAGGGCATGGGTTCTTTCATAATTAGGGAAACTGGCATCCAGTTGTCTACTCCTTCCTTCAAACGGATCAACTACTACAGACACATAATTTCTTTCTTAAAAAATAGTCTTGGAATAACTTCAGGCTTTTGAAAACTCATGTCAGCATTCCTGCAGATCTGATAACATTGTGAGCTCATATATCTTACCACAGTGAAGTCAGGGTAGAAGATACATCATCTTTTTCAGATTCCCGGAATAGCTTCCAAAGTTCCGGATCCCCAGATAAGTGTGCAAGAATGTGCAATTCAATCTGTGAAAAGTCTGTGAGATAAGAGTCTACACTAATTCGGAATCACGAACAGCCTCTCGTCGTTGTACCCGCGGCCCAGCCCACCCTCAACTTTCCGTCCTCACTGCGGCCTCTCTAGCGACATCCCCCCACCCAACTGCCAGGTTCCTTTGGCCTCAGGGCCACCGGCCATCCCTGTCTCTGCAAGTCTAAGTAAGAGATTCCCCCCGCCCGCCTCTGTGAGGCCAGCAGCGCCTCGCCTGTTTATTCTGTACATCGGAAGTGTGGAAGGGCCTGCTGTGTGCCAGGCTGTGCGCTTGGCATTTGTTAGGGAACAGAACAGACCAGCCTTTCTCCGCAGAGCCTACGTTCCAGGAGCAGGAGACACTGTGAGTTATCTAGAGTGTCGGAAGACGAGAAGTGGAAAAGACGGATCAAGAAAGGAGGTTGATGAGTGAGTGGCCGTCGGTATACACGTCCCTGAGACAGTGATGTCTGAGCAAAGGCACAGAGGAGGTGAAGGAGGGAGCTAGAAGGTCTCTAGTGAAGAGGTTCCATGCTGGGCACGAGGTGGGGCTGGCCCACGTCGGAGGCCAGCACATCTGCAGCGAGTGAGCAAGGCAGGGAGCCAGGGTGATGAGGACAGATGGCAGGAAGGAGAGGCAGACGGGGTGGGGCTGTACAGGGGCATCTGGGGTCTAGACAGGGTGAGGGACCCTGGGAGCAGATCTGCTTCTATTCACTATGCACAAGAAATCTCTCCGCATAGATTTTTGCCTTAGGATTTATTTTAAAGAGTGAATTCTGTAAGTACTTTTGAAGTATTCGTCTCCAAACACATGAACTGTATGAGATGCATAAAGTGAGCTGCAGTGACACAGGGTGTCTCTCGGACATAGTCTGCCTGCACCTGCCGCCAGGAAGGTGTGGCCCTCGGGTGAGACCAACGTGCTCCTTGGGGAGACGGTGAGCCTTCGGCCTTCCGCACCTGAATTGTTATTTCAAGGGCACTTGGCGAATCTGGACACGAGCTTCTTCACAGCCAGTTCTCACAAAGTTTATTCAAATATCATTCCACATTTAAGGGTCCAGATTTCTGACTGCTGAATATATTTATTAACATAATTTAGAAATATCATGGTACTGCTGAGAGTAAAGTGGATTTTCTGTTGTTAAAATTTTATGTTGTGTCTGGAATTCCTGGTGAGGAAAAGCTCAAAAACTACTGACTCTTGAACGTACTCCAGTTAAGAACAGTCTAGGGACTCCCTGAACCTCTCCGACCAGGAGACAGACTTTGGGGAAGTGCGGTCCTACGATGCACCAATGTGATTTGAAGGGCGGCAGGAGGCAAAGTTGCTACGGTCACCTCCCCGGTCCTGCTGAAGTGTGACTTCGTGTATTTGAAAAGGACCCCTCGTCATGATTCACTGTTCTGTGGGGACCCAGCAGAAGCAGCAGCTCCTGAAGCAGAGGGGGCAGGACCCCCCCGCCCCGGGGGGCAGGACCCCAGGGGGAGGGGCCACAGAACCTTCTTTGCTCAGGTTGGGGCTTTTTCTTTTTTATAAATGTAGCCAGCAGCATTACCATGGAAGAGCTCAAAAGAAAGGTGTTAGCATGCTTTTATAAACATTTCCAGTAGTTTTCAGACTTCGATAAAAGCCAGTTTTACTGTGTTTGTTTCTCTCCTCTCTTGGGAAGCTGGTGAGGGAGAGATGGTGGGAGGGGAGCCGCTTTCCTTGTATAATCATCATCTCTTTTAACTCCCTAAAAGGGAGTTTATTTTTCAATGTGTACTTAAATCCTGGTCATGCAAAAACAGAGAACTTCAGGAACCAAAGAAATGAGTTCTACAGAAAAGCAATTATATACACTTGTAGGTTTTTAGAAAAATGTTACCCCAGACTTCAGCAAAGTAGAAAGAAATAGGTTACCTTTAAAATACTGCAGTTTAGGGGCGCCTGGGTGGCGCAGTAGGTTAAGCGTCCGACTTCAGCCAGGTCACGATCTCGCGGTCCGTGAGTTCGAGCCCCGCGTCGGGCTCTGGGCTGATGGCTCAGAGCCTGGAGCCTGTTTCCGATTCTGTGTCTCCCTCTCTCTCTGCCCCTCTCCCGTTCATGCTCTGTCTCTCTCTGTCCCAAAAATAAAATAAACGTTGAAAAAAAATTTTTTTAAATACTGCGGTTTAGTAATCCGAATTGGGTGCTTGGAGATACCTTGAACATTCTGTGAATAAGAGGAGGACAGTTTTAGCTAAAATATCTACTCATAAATTAACCTGTATCATTTAATATTATTATTTATTATTGTTTTCATTTTTCTTAATGTTTATTTTTGAGAGAGAGAGAGAGAGAGAGAGAGAGAGAGAGAGAGAGGCAGAGAGAGAGGGAGACACAGAATCTGAAGCAGGCTCCAGGCTCTGAGCCGTCAGCACAGAACCTGACGTGGGCCTCGAACTCATGAGCTGTGAGACCATGACCTGAGTTGAAGTCAGACGCTCAACTGATTGAGCCACCCAGGTGCCCCTCTTGTTTATTATTTTTAAAGTAAGCTCTACACCCAACATGGCACTTGGACCCATGGCCCCGAGATCAAGAGTCACACGCTCAATCGACTGAGCCAGGCAGGTGCCCCCAAATCTGTATCACTTAAGGGCATTTAAAATGCGTCATATTTTATCAAAATACCTAGTGCCAATACACATTATGCACAGGCATATGACTGCTCAACACAAGAGTCTAATACTGAAACATGACTCTGTTGAGTACACCACTAAGTATAGCTGGCAAATATGAGAACAATTCTTTTTGACTCTAGCCTGTGCAGCCCTTATTGTAATTATACACAGTAATGCTGTTAGCAGCAGCCTAAATTACAAACTTAGTTAAAATTTTCTACATAACATGCTAAATGTAGATTTCTGTGAAGTCTGTATAGTGTAGTTTCCCCTTAAAAACATATTTTAAGATGAAAATCCTGGTCTCTCCACCCTTGTCTGGTGCTCTTGGCACTCGGTACTGGCCTCAGTCTGGGCACGTGCAGCCACCCCGTGGCTGGTGGCCACTTTGTCCACATCCCCCGCAACAGCTTGCTAAGCACCTTCACACCTTCACAACTTGGACTGAATGGCCGCTGACTTCTAGCCTGTCACTGCCATTCAAACTGAGAACTTCTGGAGCAGTATCCTTTTGTGCTCGGTAGTACCTTCCACAGAGACACCCTGCTTTGCCTGTAATGGAACTCATTGGGCACTGGTTGGTCTACACTCCCTGACTACTCTGGTGAGGCTACTGGGCATCTCAGACCCTGTGATTCAGGCCCAGCAACCCCAGGAGGCAGGCACCATCACCCTATTTTTTAAGGTGAGGATATTGAGGCCCAGAGGTATGAAGCTAGTGGCTCTCAAGTTTTCTGTACAACAGAATCACATGACATTTAAAAACAATACCAAATATTCACACGATAAGCTCAGTAACAGAATACAGACAACAGAAGACAAGAGCCAGTGAACTTAAAGACAGATCAGTAGAAACTATCCAACATAGAGGAGAGAAGAAAAATGTTGGGGGAACATGAACAGAGGCGCAGGGACCTGTGGGATAATATCAAAAGTACAATATGATTGTGTGTCATTTTATTATTTAAAAAAATTTTTTAATGTTTATTTTTGAGAGAGACAGAGAGACAGAGCATGAGTGGAGGGAGGGGCAGAGAGAGAGACAGAGAGAGAGAGAGACAGAATTGGAAGCAGGCTCCAGGCTCCGAGCTGTCAGCACAGAGCCCAATGCAGGGCTGGAACCCACGAACTGCGAGATCATGACCTGAGCCAAAGTCACATGCTAAACTGACTGAGCCACCCAGGGGCCCCTGATTGTGTTATTTTAGTCCCTGAAAAAGACTTGTGTACACACACACACACACACACACACACACACAAACCCTTAAATAATGGCTAAAAATATCCCAGATTTAGTGAAAAACATGTTTTTCAGATTCAAGAAGGTGAACAACCTTAAATAAGATGAATTAAAAGAAAATCAGGCCTGGAAACATCACAGTCAAACTGCTGAAAACCAAAGATTAAGAACAAAGTTGAAAGCAGGCCAAGCAAAATGACACAGGACACGCAGAGGGGCGACCACGCGGGCGGCTGCAGGCCTCCCTGCTGGAGCCAGGTCCACGGACGACAGCGGGGCGGGACGCAGGCTCTGTCAACTCAGAACTGCTCTTCGACAAACTGTGTCCTCCCAGAATGATGGCAAACTGAAGATACCCTTGGGCGAATAAAAACAGACAACATGTCCTCCGGGGCCTGCTCTGAAGGAGGTGCTAAGAAAGTTGTTCAGGCTGAAGGGGAAGGTCCCAAGAAAGCCTGGAAGTTGAGAAATGAAGTGAGCAACAGAGAGGCTCAGGACCCGGAGAAGCGTAACAGACTATTTTTTCCCAAGCTCTTTAGAATATTTACTACTGTTCAAAGCAAACACTATAACACTTTCTGGGGTGTTTATAGCGTGTGCAGACATAACGCATAGCGGCGATGACAGAAGATGGTGTTTGTAAGTCTTCCACAACTTACGGAAAGTGGTAAAATGTTCCATGCAAAAATACACTGAAAATTGATATGTATACTATAATTCGGTAGCCATCACTAAAAAATATTACACAACGAGATGTAGCAAAAAATCCAATATACAAATTGAAATGGAATTCTAAAAATTATTCAGTAATTCAAAGAAAGGTATGAAAGAGGGAACAGAAGAACAAAAACAGAAGGAACTAACAGAAAAACAAAATGGTGACCCAAACCCAACCATACCAGTAATCACACTCAATTTAAATACTTTAAACACACCAATTAAAAACTGAGTTTGTTTGAGTGCACAAAAAAGACCCAACTATATACTGTCTACAAGAAATCTACTTTAATAAGATTTAGATAGATTACAAGTAAATGGATGAAACAAGATATATGCCATGCAAACAGTGATTAGAAGACATCTGGAGTGGTTACATTAACATAAGACAAAGCATCATTCAGAAGGGAAAATACCTGTATGAAGAAAACATCATGGAATGATAAAAAGGTAAATTTACAAAGAAATATAAATTCTAAATGTGCAGACATCTAACAACAGAACTTAAAAACACACAAAACAAGAACTGGTAGGCTTGCAACAAGAAACAGACAAATCCACAATTACATTACAGGTGTAAACACCCCTCTCTCAGTAGTATGTAGAAATGTGGAGATAAAATCAGCAAGGATACAGAAGACATGAGTAACACTGTCAACCAGCTTGACCTGACTGACATTTATAGAACACTATGTCCATAGACAGAACACCTATTCTTTTCAAGTGCACCTGATACATTGGTCAAGATAGACGACACCATAGCTTGTAAAACAAGCAGATTTAGAAGAATTCAAATCATTCAAAGTGTGTTCTCTGGCCGTAATAAAGGTAAACTAAGAATTATCTGGAAAATTCACAAATATTTGGACATTAAATAACATACTTCTTAATTAGTCAGGAGTCAAAGTAGAAGTCTCAAGGGAACTTAGAAAATATATTGAATGGAGCACAGAAGAAAACACACAGTATCAGAATTCATGGCATGTAGCCAAAGCAGTACTTACAGGGAATTTTATAGCATGAAATGTTTATATTGGAGAAAAAGAAAGGCCTCAAGTCAATAAGCTTCTACCTTGAGGAACTAGAAAGAGAAGAGCAAATTAATTCTAATGCAAGAAACAGATAATGGAGCTGAAATTAATGACATTTAAAACAGAAAAGCAATACAGCTGACCCTTGAAAACATGGGCTTAAACCGTGCAGACCCACATACACATGGGGTTTTTTGAAAAATACAGGACAGGACTGTAAATGTATTTTCTCTTCCTTGGGGTTTTCTTAATGGCATTTTCTTTTCTCTAACTCACTTTATTGTATGAATATGGCACATAATACAGAATATGTTGATCAACTATATCTGTTATTGGTTAGGCTTCCAGTCAACAGTAGGCTGTTTGGGGGAGTCAAAAGTCCTATGTAAATTTTCTACTGAGCTGGGGGTCAGTGCCCCAACTCTTGTGTTGCACAGGAGTCAATTGTGCTGAAAAATCAGTGAAACCCAAACCTAGTTCTTGTAAAAGACCAATAAAAATGATAAACCTCTACCTAAACTGTTCAAGAAAAAAAAGAGGAAGGTGAAAATGATCAATTTCAGGAATGAAAGGCAGATATCACCACCGAGCACACAGACACTAAGGACAATAAAGAAACTGTATGAGCACAATATGCCCATAAACTCGACAACTTAGATGAAGGGGGCGAGTTCCTTGAAACACACAAATTATCAAAATTCACTCAAGAAAAAACAGGAAATCTGGATAACCTACATCTATTAACAAAAATTGACTCTGTAGTTAAGAACCTTTCCACAAATAAAATTCTAGGTCCAGAAAGTTTCTGGTGAATTCTACCAGTTATTTAAGGAATAAATAATATGAATTCTGCATGATCTCTACCAGAAAGTAAAAGAGAATACTTTCTAACTCATTTTATGAGGCCAGTAATATCCTAATAGCAAAACCAGACAAAGGCATTTCAAGAAGAGAAAACTATGGACCAGTATCTCTCATGAATATAGCCAGAAACAATCCTAAACAAAATATTAGCAAATCAATTCAGCAATAGGACAATTGTCATGACCAAGTGGGGTTAATCCCACAAACCCCAGCCTTGGTTGGTTCAACATTTAAAAATCCATCAGTGTTATTCCCTATATGAATACATTGAAAAAAAAATCATATGACCTTAATAGATGCAGAGAAAGCATTTGAAAAAAATTAAACATCCCTTCATGATAAAAACTGCTCTCAGTAAACTAGGAATGGGAAGAAATTCTCTACCTTGACAAGACAAGGAGAATCTGTGACAAAACGTAAAATGAACCCCACTCCTGATGGTGGAAGACGGTCTCCTCTGGAGATGGGGGTGGGGCTCAGATGTCTGCTCACAGCATTCCAGTCAACACAACAGATGAAGTCTGAGCTAGTACGATAAGGCAAGAAAAAGAAAAGGCACATGGTATAAAGAAAGAAAGAAAACGGCCATTATTCACTGAAGATATGATTGTCTATTTAGAGGAACCCATGGAAACGACAAATAAGCTCCTTGGAACTAATAAATGAGCTGACCAAGGTACCAGGGAACAAAGTCAAC